TAGACCTCGAATATCATAACAAAATTCACTTTTAATTTATGTAAAGCCGTAAATATGGTTATCTTGTCTTATAATGCATAGGCGTATGTCAATTTTTTCTCAATAACTCAGTACATCCCCTTAGAGGCGGCTCCGGGCCCAGAAAGAGGAGGGGCACTTGAGGAGGATACACAAAAGGGTGGCGACACCTGCCCATGAGGGAGAAGAAAAAAAAGATACACCATATGATCTTTCGGACCCACAAATGCGCGACCTAGAATATGAATAGTCAGTACATAATCGTGGCATCGTAAAAAGATTAGACGTTCAGAAGAAAAGAGAAAGTGCCTCTGAGATGATTCCAGATATACATATAGGAGTTTCAGAGAAATGTAAGAGAGAACAATGGGAATTCACAAGGAAACATTTTCTCGGAATAATCCTGCACAATCTTCTGAAAAATGTATGTAACACGTGTGACATAACCTGAGATAACGATCTCATCAGGGCAGATGCACATAATGGCGATCAGCCGTAGGTACAGAGACATTGATGGCATAGTTGAGGACAAAGACACAAGCACATCCTTAGTGAGTCCAAAGAGAAAACTCTATTCCACAGTTTAGAGAGAAGATGAAACAGGGGAAAGAGCGATGTCTCCAAGAGAATGAGGTATTAGACTTCGACGAATTAAAGGAGGAAAAATATATTCCCCTCATGGGAAGCCACAAATGTGTATGAGGCAACTCGGTCTCAAAACGAAGAACATCCCTGCAACATTGTCTTCAGAGGGCGTTGCTCCATAAAGTGACAAAACAACACCGGAAGGAGACAGCCTATTGCGCAATATAGGAGGCGGTCCATGAGACATAAGCAGTGGGAGTATACACAGTGAAACAAGAAGTGCCTAAGCACGAATCATGTGAGCTCACGGAAAAGAGAACTCATCACAAAGGTGTCTATGTTGATACTCATCATGATTCCTGATGAATGCGAGGGAAAGGATTTACAGAACATGGAGTTCTACTTCAACAACCACATAAGAAGATTCTGAAAAAAGAAGAAAGTGGACATGTTCCCTGAGTTATCAGATGAGGACAGAGCTTCCTTCTAAACTCCAGAAGAAACGGAAACTCATCAGTATAAAGAGGAAAAGTCTAAGTGTCTCATAAAATAAGCAATAAACATCTGATTCCACAAAAAGGATGAACACCATAACAACGACATAGTGGAAGGAAACCGCAGGGACAAGTATAATACGGATACTTGTCACTCTTGAATGGTGTTCATACGAATTCGTCCACAGTGACGAGGCAACTCTCATTAAAGAAGAATACATAGAAGTTACGGCAAACTACTATCCTGCAGGTAAACGGGGCACCTGACTGCCGAGCAAAAAGAACAAATTGAGTAAAATCTTTAACAACTTACGAGAAGAATCAAATGAACCGCAGAGCGATAATGGAATGGGCGCGACCTATCAGATGCGACTGACAGATCCGGACTCATCACCTGATGCAGATGTATAGTGAGGAAGAAATATTCCATCCACAGTTATATGGGTTGTTTACCCGCAGGAGGATCGGATGAAACTTCTGTACCATACGGCGAGTAACGAATGGTAAAATGCTCAATAGAAAGTGTGTAGTTCGTAATGATTGTCCTAGAATCCGAGAGGAGTGTACTTATTCGTCCTCTCACATACCCCCTCGGCGCTGGAGCCAAAACATTTATGCCTGAAGTGGAAATAAATCACTGTGCAATCCTTTCATTTATTTATGATCATGGCATATGTAATGCTCAAGCATCCCGTATCTACTAAATTAACTAGATGGCTGTATACAACGGCGCGAGGAAGTAGAGTTACAGGAAAAGGTTAACCCCAACCCCAGGCAGCTGTAAAATGGGGGGTACAATCCACTTGGTGCTCCACACACAGGAGCATATTTTGATTAAAAATTCCAAAGAGGAAATCACGACTTCAGAGGGCCAAGAAAAGAATAGGGGAACCATTACATAGGAACCACAGACTAGAGAAAATCCGCCTTTATTCTCTGTCTATATAACAGATGAACCTGCCATAACGTAACAATTACGGAAATGGGTATCATTCATTTAAAGAGGCATATATAATTCATGTCCTTTCGGGCACGTATATATTGTTCCAAGGACAGAAAACTAATGCATCCCTTAACGCAACAATGGAGGGCACTCCTAATGGCATCATAAGAGAGAAAAAATAAATGAACTTCGCGGCCACACGTTTACAAAATTGGATCTATTGAATTTGAGAAAACCGAGAACATTTAAGAATACGATGATTCCCCCGGATGCCTACTTTTTCCTACAGATGAGTATAATGTCGTGTATGAGATACGGCACAATCGTTGTTGTGCACATGATCGAGTAATTCTTGAAGCATATATATATGATGGTAACAATTACATCATACTGAACTATGTTAAAGGACAGGGACACCCCCCTTTCTAACTTCTCTTATCATTCGTCTGTCGTTTAATGATCTATTTATATGCACGTTAAAACTGGTATTTTGTCTGCCCCGTTATGTGTGTTAAAGGGCTACATTCTCTACTATGGTGCAATTTTTCCTTTTCATGATCCTTGTGTACCTATATTCCATATATGTCCCTATCGTATTCCCCCCCTTTTTTTTTCGTCATATGACAGTGCATAGTGCAGTAGAGGGCGAAAAAGACGTTCTAATGGATTCAGCCCAACAACCTGGTGGATTCCCCCATAAAACAGTTCCTAACTATATATATTACTTAATTCAACCACCTCCCTTTTCCCTTGTCTCCTTTTTTTCTGCGACTATTCAGTAATCCATAAATTATGAATAATTACATAGATGTTTCACTTATCACAACTGATAATTCACTGGTTCATACAGAAACAATCCACTACATTAAATATTCTTCACAAGTCAATATAGCAAGAATAGCCAGTAATAATGTCCTACTGACATATCCCCTTTGTTAATACAAAGATGTGTTCATTCCTGTGTATTTCTTCTTATTCTTCGAAATTATGCACTATGAGAATTTAATTAGAATTTACTAAACGATAAGTAATATGTAGTATTCGTATAGATAAAAAGACTTACACCCTGTTATACCTACGAATAAGCGATAAATATAGTGAAATATTAAGATAATTCTTTACCCATCGTCTAAGAAATTATAGAATTCACCGTGAAAAAATTACTATTTCATCAAATATTTCTTTCCTTAGACATTAATAATACAGCTTAAAAATGAATACTGCAATGGCTCGACCTTCCTTGGTTTTCTGCAGCCTTTCTATATGATTGAAATTAAAAACTTCAGCCCAATGAGAAGAATACATTGCAAAAATATTCAGTTTCATGTAACAATTTTCTGAATTTATTCAATAGTGAAGTACTTTCTTTATCTACCACATCCAATTATAAGAAGACAAGCTAATCTATACATTATTGTATAATACAATAATTTACCATACTGTCAAAAGTTTTCCACATTTTTTTCCATAAATGCGCCATTGGCCAACATGGGAGAAATAGAACAATATAAACATTTGTAAACGAATAATTATAATATTCATAATAAGACATTACCTAATAAAGACTACTCAACAGCATATATGTCGGGTTATTGTTGTACACTCCTCAAAGGGAAGAGGGATAATGAGTCATGTCTTCTGCTTAGACTGTAACATTCGGAGTATTAGCGGAAATATGTCAGGGAGAAAGGAAGCAGACAGAAGTAATCCAACTTTTCACTGTACCCATAGCAGGAGAATGTTATTTTTCCTATAAATCCTGCCAGTGGAACCAGCTACAAAATAAAAGAGTTATAACAAATCGATACATTGCAAGAGTAAGGCAAGTTAAAATGAGACTAAGAAATTCACCATAAAAATGCACGCGCAGAATAATCGTTCATTGGAACATGAAAAGAATACATAAAAAACTGATATGCCTCGGTCACATTTTTACATAGGCATAGCAGTACAATCTATAAATATGTGTTTTATATTACAAAGAGGATATTTACCTCGTTACTATAATTTTTGCGATGGGTCGGGAAACTCCCCCCATTACATCATTCAAATCTTTAATGCAGGAGCTGCTGATGGTACAGGCTGTATAATAATGAAAAAATATAAACAGGGCGCGAACACAGACAAAAATTAGATGAATGGATAAACGAAAGATATTCCACATTGTCACGCGGAGAATCCGAATAATTAGTTACAGCAATGTGGGGAATACATATATAGTACCGCAAAAAAAAGAAGCCTACGCCAACGAGTCGTTTGATTGGTGCGAGATGTGAAAATTTACGTGCCATGTGTTTGCCAGTATCACAAAGAAATAACCCAGGAATCGCAGAGCATGATGTCCGCAATACAAGCACCAGCAATCGGCCCCAATAAGGATATTGCCTCAATCTATTCTTTACACTTAGAGTTCGCACCCCTCGCGCAGCAACCAATTTCATATTCTAGAATATACAAACATCTCTCAGTTGGTCAAAAGGAAAAATAAATTTGAAATGATTAGGAAGAGAGCATATTTCTATACATATCACAACTGACATGGGATTATGTTCACTAAAAACTCCCAGTTAAGAATAAGATAGTCCAAATCGGCAAACAAATTGAATTAAATGCGAATCGCGATTTCTGAATAATATTTCCAAAAGAAAACATAAAATATAGGCACATATTATTCGTGCTGCTCCCCCAAATGTACCGCGATGCCTTTAAATATCTGTTATTTCTTTTATACAGTTATGTGCTGATGCACGCGCTGCTTACCCTGTTATAATTCGCAGCCACATGTGCCTGTATATTGACATATTCTTTCTTTTCAACTTAATTTTATGTACGAATATTTATTCATTTTTCTGTTCTTTATTTTGAGTCAATTCATTCGTTTTCAAATTGCGTATAATTCTGTTTTATATGTCATTTTTTTCTTTGTTTTAGCCAAATGAGTTACGCGCGATTGCTAAATCATGAACCGTGGTAGGGTACTCTGCCGGAAATTATCCGCGCATTATTTGATTAAGAGCAGAAATGAACGGAATTATTATGCTCTTAATGAGTCTTTCTACAGTCTAAATAGCGCTATGTATAAAAAGGTGGAAGACTTTTCCAACTTAAAAAATTATTTTGTAACCCTTTTGCTGATAATCACCAAAAAAATAAAAAAAAAACCAATTAATGTGAGTAAACCAATCCATAAAACTGTAATCCGCATGTGTAAAATCTCGTCGACAGGGAATATACAAAAGAAAACACAACTTCCATGACACACCTCTGACCAGTAATGACTCATCTGGTCAGGATTAATACCTCTATAATTACAACGTAAAATACGACGAGAAAGAATAACTAACACTGACTGTAGGGACGCCGAGCGTGGTAACTTTTCCGCAATTTACAAGAGAAAATGTGTTATATTTCTACAAAAGAAAGATAGGTTTAAACAGGCTGTTAAGACCTAAAGAAGAAGTTAATCCATTTTAAATGATTATATACTTTCATGTATAAAATCACAAGTGGATATCATAAGACACCACTTACTAGTGCAAGAAAATAAAAGCGTAGATTTTGTAATTGACGCCATAACGCTGAATGCAGACAAAAGAAGGTTGCGGACACGAATTAATATATACAAGAAATTCCCTACCTACATATATTTCTCCCTAGCTGTGAAAAATAGGGTATACTTTAAAAGAAATGGAAGTTCGCAATGAATTCTCGCCTTATCTGATGCAGAAATAGCCGCTGTCAACATTTCCCCATATATGTTATTGGAAGTGTTTTCCATTGTTTGCACTTTTCCTTTTTCGCGTGGATTCCTTCTCTGTGGAAATTTTCTTAGGAACTGTTGTCTGTTGAGTTGTACTTTTCTCGTCGAGTCACGCGGTGTTGCTCCTCTTCGCATGTTCCCTTTTATCTTTCCATATACTTTTCATTATTCATACTATCTCTACGACTGTTTCAGGAACATTCCGCATCTTGCACCATCACTACTGCATGTATAAACTGCTACATCTTTCCTTTATATATACACACTCTGAACATTCCATAATTTAAGAAAACAAACAGAAGCGTCATAAGACTTAATAGTTCTTCTTAATAAATACCTGAACTTTATGTACCCCCTAGGGCGTTCAAGCTGTTAAATATGATTTGTAAACATATCATGTATTCGCAACATAGTTATCAAGTCCGTTTTCTTCTGATCTATATCTTTATATCGTATATAATTACCAAAGAGGCGAAACTTATTATTTCTTCTTATAAGTATTCTTTCTCCATCACAAAGCTCCTTATGCAATTTATTAACTTTTACCAAATTCTACATGTCGAGAATTACTGTAAAAAGCGATTGACTTGTTCCTCATTTCTCCTATTCTCTTATATTTTCCTCAATTGGGGTCGAAGGGAAGTTAACTCTACGGATAGAAGCGCTCCATCTGATGACACTTCTGAGCACATTTTTACTTTCTCAAATTACACAAGAGTCGTCTTGCACACCTTAAGAGAAAAGGAACACCATCTTTTAATTAATTCTAATTACAATGCATTCGATGAACTGCAATCCATTGTATAACATCATATACCTGGACTATAGATGTGTGACTATTCCCTTGAAATGACTCTGCCCCTATTCTAGGAACGACATTCCTATAACCTGACAGACAAACATGAACTACCTGTCCACAGGGTATTCTGTCTCTGCGTCTCGTTAAATTGACATAGAGCATATTTTAATAAACCCCTTATACTGTAAGCTAAAAAGGAATTCCCCAATTATATTAATGGATTCCCCATTCTGAGCATATATCTCGCTCAAAACTGAACTGTACAAATTCCTTATTTTCTCGTTCTTAAGGCATGATTGTCTGATTACTCCTTAAATATATCCTGAGGACGTTATTCATGCTCGGATACTGAAAATACAGAACATAAGATAAGATTCCAATATAACTGTAACAACAGTGCCACTGACGCATAGAGCAAATTAGAATTCTATTGTTAGATATTACACTTACTAAGTACAGACATGGTCTTTCAACACGGTGTTCATTAATACTTATGGGATGTCATCCATGAATCGAATGAATATTTATACAGTGTCTATTTGCAATGTCATAATAGGCCATTATGAATTTCCCCTTCAATATGATACACCTGCTAGAGTAGAGCCTCTCTTTGAATCACTACCAACATTTCCCACTTTCTTGCCCTGATATGGCTACAACATTTCGCCTAATTTGAGCATCCCCTCTCACATTAGCGGACAGTCGCGGATCCATAACGTATGCATATCGACCTTGTCACTCCACTGCTTAGATAAGATTTCTCATATTTCTCTAGAGGATATATAATGAAAGGAATCAATACTCTTTCTATGCATAATAAAATTTCATTATAACTTTGCAGAAATAAATTGATCTATAAACATCCTCTGTACATAATTGTAAATACGTGCATTAATAACTACATTAAGTCCCAAACATAAGATATATTAATAAGCGCCGAAGAAGTATTCATTCATTCGTCAGAAATCAGATTAAATCAATTGTTAAGCTCTCCCATATATAAGCTGGAATTTTTTCCTCTAATCTGTCCAATAAGGGTTTATGGGCAGCTTAGTTAAGGAGTAATTAAAGGATTTTATTGGAGGGGACTATTTATTTCCAT